AACTTAAGAAAGATGTGAAGAAAGGGAAGAACGGTATCTATAAGAACAAATGCAAAGCTTATATTACTTGGGAGGATAATGATTCTTCCACAATACAAGAGAGTTCTTCCGAAAGCAGTGATGGTGAAGAAGAAGCAAATCTTTACTTGGTGACAAAAAGTGATGATGAAGCCTCATCACAGGTAAGCAGTACAAAATCCTTAAATGAATACGATGAGTTGTTTAAATAATATCAAGATATGTATGAAGGTTTTACCAAGTTATCTAAGAAATACAATGCACTTAAACAAAAGTTTGATTCATTAGAAAATATTGTTGGTATTCTTGAAAAAGAAAATGAGTGCTTAAAGAATGATGTTGAGAAATTTAAAACTTTGTCTAAAATATAAAGAAGTTGCTAAACCTTGTGAAAATTGTAATAATTTGGAAAATGAGATTTTCAAGTTAGAGAAAATAATAAGCAAGTTTTCAAAATCTTCTGAAAATCTTGATTCTATATTAGGTTATCAAAGAGGGAATTCTAGCAAAGCTGGACTTGGTTACAAACCCAAAAAAAGTCTAGAACCTCATAAAAATATTTTTGTGAAAGAGTAAAGGAAAACAGATGTGAAACCAATTTCAAAAACTTTAAGAAACTCATTTAGACCTTTTCAAAGAAAATCAACATGTTTTTATTGCATGAAAATAGATCGTACATCAAATAGATGTCACATAAAACATTTTGGCATATCTAATGGCAAATATGAATGGGTGCCTAAAGGAACAAAGCATGTATACATGTCTAGATGATAGTTTGAGCATCTAATTGATTATCAGAATCAGAAATTTTTTTCTTGTTGTCATAATCAATTATGTTGATTCTGAAGGTACTGTGATAATCGATTATTATATCATGGTTATATTCTTTTAATCCTTAGTCTTTTGGTAGAGACTTGTGATTCTACTAACCTTTTTAAGGACCCAAAAATAATTAAGGGTACCTAGATTTGTATGTTGATGTTGTAGGTAATTATCAAGAATAAGAAATTAATGCATGTTACTGAAGCTAAATGGGTGTACAGGAACAAGCTAGATGAATAGAGAAATATTACAAAGATAAGTCTATGATTCTCTCAAGCCTCTATATTGAATATCTGCACTTATCTGTCACATAAATTTGATTGTTGACCAACTTTGAAATTTGAAAGTTTGAATTTTGAAAATTTGAATTTATGAAAATTTGAAATTATTAAAGTTTGAAATTTTGCAGTTTGAGATTCTTGAAATTTGAAATTTTGCAGTTTGAGATTTTTTTTTTTGAAATTTTGTAGTTTGAGATTTTGAAATTTGAAATTTTTGCAGTTTGAGATTTTTGAAATTGAATTTGAATTGGAATTTGAAATTTGAATTTGAAATTTGGGATTAGAAATTTGAATTTGAAATTTGGAATTTGTTGGAATTTAAATTTGAAATTTGAAATTTGTTGCAATTTGAATTTGAAATTTGAAATCTGGAATATGAGTAAATTTGGAATGTGAAATCTGCATAAATAAGAAGACTGCAATTGGGGGAAACTACTGCATTTCATTCCATTATCTCTACAATCATTCTATTCCCCTATCTTTCTCTCTCTTCATTTGTCTTGGGTATCCTAGATATTGCCTCCTTAATATGATGTTCTTCTCTATGACACTTTGTAATGCATTATCTTCTCTACCTTGATTTATGTACTAATATGTGCAAATTTGTTCTCAATTTATATTGAAATATTTTTCATAATTATCAATGAAACAGGGAGATATTTTGATGATATTAATCTGTGTGAAACAGAGGGAGATTTTTTTTTCTCTTATAATATTTTTTAGATTATCAATGAAATAGGGGGAGATTTTTTGATGAATTCAAATCTGTGTGAAATTCATTCCTATCTCTAAATTAAACAAGGGGAGTTAAGAGAAGTCTTTGCTCATATGAATTAGGGGGAGTCTTGTTATTAATATATCCAGGGGGAGATTAAGAGACTCTGACACTTGATACAAATCTGTGCTAATCTGTGTTATACTATACTGTACAAATTTGTGCTAATCTTGAGCTGGCTATATAGAGTCAAGAATTTTAATTCATTTTAGGTGTTTCCTTGATCATCATCAGAAAGGAGAGATTGAAAGCAATGAGGGAGAGATTGATGGCAATGTGAAACATGTCCCTACATTCCCAAGAGATGATTTTGATGATGATTCAAGTCAATAACATTCAAGACTCAAGCAAGCCTAATATATGATTTGATAAAGATTTTATTCAAGATTCAAAGCAAGCCCAAGATGATTCCTGAAGACTAGATAGAGTCTTAGAATATTGGATATGGAGGTACAAGTTGATGAAGTAATATTATGCATAAGCCTCCAAAGCACAAGTGTGATAAAATTTATAACATGATATTTTTCACTGTCATAATCAATTATGATGCATCAGAAATGGAAAAATGGTTTTCTCTATCATAATTGATTATATTAGTAACATAATCAATTATATCAATTCAAATTTGAAAAATATATCTATTTTGAAGAATAAATGTTTTTTAATATATCCTGATTTTTATTCACAAAAATATTAATGTCCAATGACCATTTTCTCGATACTATTTTTCTATTTAATCAAGTTTTGATGTAAAATAAAAAATACAAAATTACAGAATTCGAAAATAAAATTTACATTCAATCAGTTTTGAGAAAAGAATTCTGAGCAAGGCAACAGAGATATTTTACACCTTCTGAGAAAACCCTCTTTTCTACTACCTTTTGTGCTTTCATTGTTAATCACACTTGTTCTTGGAGATTGGCATTCTACAGGCTTCTACAATTTGTTGTCTCCATTATCCAGGTGTGATTGTTCTTATCTTACTCCTTCATCCTTTGTGGGTTTAGGAGGTGTTTTCATCCCTTTGATTTGTTCAGGGAGGTGTTCATCCCTAGTGTAATTCTAGGGAGGTGTTCATCCTTAGTGGGATTCTAAGGAGGTGTTTTTCATCCTTTGATTTGATCAGAGGAGGTGTTCATCCCTAATGGGATTCTAGGGAGGTGTTCATCCTTAGTGGGATTCTAAGGAGGTGTTTTTCATCCTTTGATTTTTTCAGAGGAGGTGTTCATCCCTAATGGGATTCTAGGGAGGTGTTCATCCTTAGTGAGTTTCTAAGGAGGTGATTGTCTTTTTAATTAGTTTACTTTTTACTGGTTCTTCTGCTTAGTTGATTGTAATTTGTAAACTGAATTTGAAAGATGGTGAATTAGGAGTCAATCTTGTGTTAAGAGTTGACTGCGAACTAGATGTAGGGTTGGCTATACACGAACCAGTATAAATCACTGTGTGCTCTTCTCTTTCCCTTATCTCTTTCTCTTTTCCTGATTATATTATCACTTCCGCTTTATCTGTGTTCAAACAAATTATTGATTCATAAATAAATTTTTAATTTGACATCTATTAAAATTTGTGCATCTATTCACCCCTCTCTAGATGCCATTTGTCTAACAAAAGTCTCTTACCTTTGAAAAGGTATTGATTGAGGAGGTAGAAGTCTTTGTAAGCCCCTACGTGGCATTCACTAATAATGGGGGAAAAATCATCATCACTAGCATACAATTCCTTAATGTGATCAAAGCTCAAAAATTTGGTTTCTAAAAGGGTTAGGAGTGAATGGCACCTTGAAAGGGCATCCACCACCACATTAATCTTTCCTTGTTTATGTTTGATCACATATGGTAATTGTTCTATGTATTCAACCCACCTTGCATGTCTCTTGACCAACTTTCTTTGACTTTTCAAAAACTTTAGGGACTCATGATCACTATGAATCACAAATTCCTTTGAAAGAAGATAGTGTTGCCAAGTTTGCAAAGTTCTCATAAGAGCATAAAGTTCTTTGTCATAGGTGGAGTAATTGATGTGACTCCCTTTTAATTTCTCTCTAAAATGGGTAATGGGGTACCCTTCTTGAAGAAGCACAACCCCTATGCCTACATTGGATGCATCACACTCTACTTCAAAGGTCTTGGAGAAGTTAGGGAGGGCTAGAAGTGGGGCATTGATCAATTTTTCCTTAAGAGTTTCAAAAGCTTTGTCTTGATCCTTGCCTCATTTGAAGTCCACACCTTTTTTAACCAATTCATTCAAAGGGGAGACTATAGTGCTAAAGTTTGGCGTAAACCTTCTATAAAAACTAGCCAACCCATGAAAAAACCTCACTTCACTCACATTCTTTGGTCTTGGCCAATCCTTGATGGCCACCACTTTTTCTTGGTCCACATGGACCCCATGTTTATTTATTTTGAACCCTAGGAAGATCACATGATCCATGCCAAAAATGCATTTTTCTATGTTAGCATACATGGACTCCTTCCTTAGCGTCTCTAGCACACTCCTCAAATGATATGCATGTTCCTCTTTGGTCATACTATAAATGAGAATATCATCAAAGTAAACCACTACAAATTTCCCAATAAAGTCTCTAAGAACATGTTGCATGAGTCTCATGAAGGTGCTAGGTGCATTGGTCAAGCCAAAAGGCATAACCAACCACTCATACAATCCAAACTTAGTCTTGAAAGAGTTTTTCCATTCATCACCTTCTTTGATCCTTATTTGATTATATCCACTCTTCAAGTCTATTTTGGAAAATATGGTGGCACCATGCAATTCCTCCAACAAGTCATCTAACCTAGGAATGTGATGCCTATACTTAATGGTGATGTTGTTGATAGTTATACAATCAATGCACATTCTCCATGAACCATCCTTTTTTGGGACAAGTATCATGAGCATTGCATAAGAGCTCATGCTATGTTGCACCCAACCTTTTTCTAACAACTCTTCAACTTATTTTTGGATTTCCTTAGCCTCCTCGGGACCTGTCCTATAGATTGGCCTATTTGGTAAAGAAGCACCTTATACCAAATTAATTTGGTGCTCTATTCCCCTTAAGGGTGGAAGTCCCTTTGGGGGATCTTGAAAAACATTTTTAAAATCCTTTAAAACTTGGGCCAAATCTTGAGGACAAGAAGAGGTGGTTTCTTGGAAGGATGGATAAGGGCTAGTGGGGTAAGCTACAAAACTTGTTTTTGAGCAAACATTACCTTTTTTCACTCTCTTGTGGGAGAGTATCATGCTCTTCTTGGTCTCTTGCTTCTTTTGAGCCACTTCCTCCTTCTTTTTCTTAATCATGTGAAGTTGGTCCTCATTAACCTCTTGAGGGGACAAAGGTAAAAGTGTGATCTTTCTACCTTGGTATTCAAAAGAATATTTGTTGGTATGACCATCATGAAATTTTTTTTTTATCAAATTTCCATGGCCTTCCAAGTAAAATATGTGTAGTTCCCATAGGCACAACATCACACAAAACCTCATCCTTGTATTTTCCTATTGAGAGGTTGATGAGGACTTGCTTATCCACTTTAATTTCTCCTTCTTCACTTAACCATGAGAGTTTATAAGGCTTGGCATGGGGGGTGGGTTTCAAGCCAAGCTTGTCCACAACCCTCTTGCTAGCCACATTCACACAACTACCTCCATCAATGATGAGGGACCAAAGCTTGTCATTGATTAGGCACCTTGAGTGGAAAATATTTTCCCTTTGAGAGTTTTCAAAATGTTTAGGTTTTTGGCCTAGCATGCGTCTTATCACCAACAAACCTTCTCCTTCATGAGGTTTGATTTCATCTTCACTTGAAGAAGAAGAAGAACTAGTAGAACTCTTGGGGGATGGAGGAGAAGAATGCTCAATTTCTACTTCTCCTTTTGGGTTCAAGATCATAGTTCTTTTTGTTGGACAATTGGAGGCTATGTGACCATAACCTAAGCATTTAAAACATTTGATGGAACTTGTTCTTGAACCTTGAGAAGAGTTAGGAAGGTCTTTGGGAGCCTTAGTCGAATTCATCGTAGGAGTTTCTTTAGAGGTTTTGGAAGGTGGTTTTTCAAACTTTCTTTCATTCCCCTTTCCAACTATTAGAGTAGTAGTCATTGTAAGTTGCACTTCTCTAGGCCTCATTTTTCTTTTTCAATTGGTTTTCAACTTTTAAGGCCAAGTGTAAAACTTTGTGAAATTGGAAGTGCTCATACAACTCTATCACATCTTGAATTTCCCTTCTCAAGTCACTCACAAATCTAGCTACCTTTTCTTCCTCACTTTCATTTTGGAGTCCCACTTTAAGGAGCAAGGACTCCATCATCTTTTCATACTCACTCACACTCATGGTTCCTTGTTGAAGCCTTTGGAGCTTCAAAAGGGTGTCCCTCCTATAGTAGGAGGGAACAAGTTGTTCGTGCATTAAAATTTTCAAGTCCATCCAAGAAGTCGCGGGTGGCTCTTGGTTTATAATGTCTATACATTTGTTATGCCACCAAGTCATGGCATAATCCTCAAACTCTAAGACTACGAATTATACTTGCTCTTGTTCCCTAATTACATGAATGATAAAAATTTGGTCCACTTTTTGCTCCCACTCCAAGTAGATGTTGGGATCTTCTTCTCCTTTGAACTTTGGAATCTTGATTGGTGGTAGTTGTCTCCTTGGAAGGGAATGGTGCCTCCTCCTTCCTCCATAATCCTCATAAGTGTCTCTTGAAGATGACTTCCTCCTCCTCCTATCTTCCTCCCTTAGTTCAACCCTTTGGATGTGTTCTCTAAGCATCATCTCACTTTGTCCTTTATCTTTCCTTAGTTGTGCAATGGTCTCCCTTCTACTCTCTTCTAGTTGTTGCACAATTTGAATCAAACTAAGGTCTCCTTGTTGTGCAAGAGGAGTGATGGTGGGAGGTGAAGAGGCTTCATGTGACTCTTCTACCTCTATTTCTTCCAAGATAGGAGAAAAATTTTCACCACCGAGGTCCATATTACTCAAACTGAAAACAAACACAAGAGTTAGCACAAGTATGAGTTAAAAACCGAGGCAATCCCCACCCTACAATGCAATTTCCCAAGTGTTTGGATGCACACTCCCAACAACACAAGGCTAGGCTATCACTCTCATTTCTCAAAGGGTGGAAATCACTCCAAAATTTTCAAAACCTTTTCTCACCAAGCAACTTAGGTCATGGTTTTCACCAATTAAAAGGCCAAGGAAAAGAAAACTAACAAGGACAAAATAAGGACCCTAAGACAAGAAAGAAAAGCACAAAAACAAGAAAGCAAAACTTTAAGAAGGAAAATTTTTGAGACAAAACTTTAGTAAGACTAACACAAGAAAAGCACTTTAAAAGACTCTATGGAAAAATATTTGATCATGCCTTTGAACAACTTAAATCATGCACATGCCAAGGAAGAAAAGAACCACATAGTTTTTATGGAACTAATTTGCCAACATTACCACATTCAAGTTTTCAATTTGAGAGCATAACACATTAGAAAAAAAAATGCAATTTTCCATCCCCAAGCTCCAAGTTTGGTCTCGGTTTTTAGCTAGAAAGTTGGGGAATTTTTTTTCTTTTGCAAACAAGTTTCCCAAGGTGATAGAATAGAGTTTCAAGGTGTCTTGAACACTTAGTTCCTTGAGTTTTGGTCACAAATCAATTCCAAAGCACATACACTTCATAAGTCATGTAAACATGCAAGATTCAAATATTTTAGAATAACAAGAACAAGAAAACCACTAGTTAACATATGACTCAAAATCAAAGATAAACACATTTAAAGACTCTTTCAACATGAGAGACAAAATTTTAACATGATAACACTACAAGTAGCTCTCGATTTTCCAAGCAAAATACCAACAAAAATCATGTTCACAACTTCACAACATCACCAATATATGGAGATGGAGTTCTAGATACTTAAACCTTGAAGTGAAGTGGAAAAATGTGCAACACCAAGTTTGAAAAAACCAAGGCCGAGAGTCCACCAAGAGTAATAACACAAGACAATAAAAGTTAGCACAAGAAAAATAACATATTCAAGATAACCATGGCTCTAGATACCAAATGATGTAGGTTCAGTTTAATTCTTTGAAATAGGGTGTTGGATTACTTAAGAAAACCTAGGGAAAATTCCCACCGAACATTAAGATAGCAAGCTATCTAGATGTGAAGGTGCATTTCCAACGACTCAAGAGAGGAGTGAATGGAATTAATATTGATTAGAAAAACAACACATGAACAAGGAGTAAAATTAGAAGAAGAAAAAAACAAAATGTAAGATATAGAAGATGGTGATGGTGAGGAAACACGCCACTCTTTGGATAAGGGCCATCGTAGGCACACCAAGTCAAGAGATAAGTGGTGAAACTGCCACTTGCTTAAGAGCAAGATAAGGTCATGGAGTCTCCACCCTAGGGAGAAGATGCTCACAAAAATGTGGTTGGACAAAGGAGTATTTTTATTTCAAATGTTCAACCCCTACAAAGGAGAAGAAGCACCCCTTGAATAGATAGTCTTGGGGGCTTCTTAGCAAATAACAAAAGTTCTAAAAGGGTACATTTGCAAACCCTAAAAAGTATCTTCTACAAACCTAACATGAAAACAAGGAAAAGATAAATGGAATATTGGACTTCCTATGGTGATTCTTAGCTAAGACTAAGGAGGAGACCACATTTGTCTCATTCACCACCATAAAGCACCTTTCTCTTTATGCTTTATGCTTTCCACCTCATGCACATGTGGTCCAATCCTAGCTTTCCATGTGGAGAGTCCTAATCATCCTCTTAATCCATGCTTAACCTAAAAGACACACAAATGAAACTAGATTAGCAATGTTGACTTGGGTCAAGTCAACTCTAGTAAAAAAGTCAACCCAAGTCAAGGTCAAAAAGTCAACTAAAATTAACTCTACTCAATTCAACTTAGAAAATTCAAATTAAGCTAATGGAAAATAAAGATAGGGTAGAACTAGAAGACTCCCCTCTTATCATGCCTTCATCACCTCATTTAGAGATGATTTCTACACTTATCTAGTTGAAAATGATCCAATGAGTTTTTTAAAGGCTACTCGGGCTCCTGATGCAATAAATTGGGATAAGGCCATTAAGACTGAAATTGATTCAATTAAGAAAAATAATACTTGGACTTTAGTATATTTGCCTAAAAAAACAAAGCCTATTGGTTGTAAGTGGATCTTTAAGAAAAATTATCATCCTGATGGATCCATAGATAAATATAAGGCAAGATTAGTAGCAAAGAGATTTACTCAAAAATTCAACATTGATTATTTTGACACCTTTGTCCTTGTGACTAGGATTTCCTCTATTCGAGTTTTGTTAGATCTAGCATCTATCCATAAGCTGGTTATACACCAAATGGATGTTAAGACAACCTTTTTGAATGGTGAATTAGAGGAGAAAATTTATATGACTCAACCTGAAGAGTGTGTTATTCCTGGTCAAGAGAATGAAGTGTGCAAACTTTTAAAATCTTTGTATGGATTAAAACAAGCACCAAAGCAGTGGCATGAAAAACTTGATAGTTTTCTACTTTATAATGGTTCTTCAACTAATGACGTTGATAAATGTGTGTACTCTAAATTTGAAAGTGATGAATGTGTCATTATATGTTTATATGTAGATGAAATGCTAATATTTGGTACATGCATTGACATTGTCTCTAGAACTAATTTGTTTCTGGGATCTAAATTTGAAACAAAAGACATGGGTGAAGCCAATGTGATTTTGGGAGTTAAAGTCATAAGGAAGGGAGATAGTATTTTACTATCCCAAGAACAATACATTGAGAAACTTTTTAGGAAGTTTGGGCGTTATAACGTCAAACCAGTGAATACCCCTTATGACGTTAACTCTAAGTTAAAGAAAAATAGAGAAAACTCAATCTCTCAACCTCAATATGCCCAGGTAATTGGAAGCTTACTGCATTTCATGAGCTTTTCTAGACCTAACATTGCTTATGCAGTAGGTAGAATGAGTAGGTACACTCAATGTCCTAATCAAGAATATTGGAATGAACTTGCAAGAATTATGAAATACTTAGAGGTTCAATGGATTATGCCATTGAATATAGTGGATTTCCTGTTGTACTAGAAGGGGACAATGATGCTAACTGGATCTCTGATTCAGATGAGACAAAATCCACTAGTGGTTATGTATTCACACTCGGGGGTGGTGCAATTACATGGAAATCATTCAGGTAAACAATTATTCAAGATCAACAATGGAATATGAATTTGTTGCTCTCGAAATGGCTGGTAGTGAAGCTGAGTGGTTGAAAAACTTATTATCAAACATTCCATTAAGAATGAAATTGATCCTGTCTGTATCAATTTACTGTGATTGCCAATCACCAATAGCTATAGTTAAAAATAAGAACTACAATGGAAAAAATAGACATATACAATTAAGACATAATTTAGTGAAGCAACTGCTAAAGAATGGAACAATTTTTATTGATTATGTGAAGTCAGGACGGAATCTAGCAGATCCTCTGATAAAACCCTTAGCAAGAAATATGATTTTAGAAACATCGAGGGGAATGAGACTTAAGCAACTTGCAAACAAACAGGTGATGGTAACCCAACCTTTGTGATTAGAGATCCCATGAATAAGGTTCATGTGGGTAAAAACAAGTCACTTGTTAGTTCTGCTAGCACTAAAATTGATTAAAATAAATTATGTCCATTCCTATGGTTTATATGTGAAAGTACTAGATATTGCATTATTGAGAGGTTAAACTTTGTAATTAAAATTTTATGTGGTGTACGAATTTTAGTATAAACAAAGTTTTTAACAATTTTATATCCCTTACGGGTGGTGTATGATTTGCAACATACACTTGATGAAGTCACCTATATGAGTGTCGAGAGAGGTTGCTTGTATGAGATCTTTGCAAGATTTCTAGAGCATTCATGAATACCGGGCACGCGCATAGCCTAGTAAGTGCAACACAGTGATAACAACAAGAATTGTGTGGTGTATTGTGATTGTTAAACCGCTAACACACACTAAGTGTTTTGGTTCATATAGCCTGCTACACCAATTACACTGTATATTAAGTTTTTCAGTCTAAGACTGGTTCATATAGCTTGCTATACTAGCTCTGATGCATTACATCTTATATGAGACCCAAGATTTTCTTCTTTTTATTCTTTATCTCTTTTGTTTTGCAATATATGGGGGACTGTTGTAAAAAAAAGGGGTATTGCAAAACTTAGAACGTTACAGAGAACTTTACTGAGAACGTTATAGAGAACTTTACTGAGAACGTTACAGAGAACTAGGTAGTTAGGGTTTTGGCTCCAATCTACACCTATAAATAGAGACCACTTCACACTCTTCCATACACACCTATCTCATCTTCTCTTCTCTATTTTCTTCCTGTTCTACTATTATACTGGGTTTATTTACTCCTTTTGCTAGTTTCTGAGATCCTCAAAAATTTCGAGAAGTTCCTGTTGTATCTTGGGGGACTTGCGCAATACACCACGAATAAGTCCTTAAGGGCAGTGATTATACACGCCTCAGGAATAAAGTTTGTTTGTGTCTCTGTCAGCTTTAACAATACTCATTAGATACAAGATTGATAGACTCATAGTTATAAAGAAGAACAAGATCACCACATGCAATAGTAGTAACATGATCATTCTCTTTCTACTTTCCTTACTTGCCTTTGTTCTCCTTTTTTTTTTTACTTAAAACAATGTTGTTTCATGTATTTATGTTTATTATAATAATAACACTCCACATTTTTGTATTTTATCTTAGACTTGTTCCTGCTCTTCTCTCTATCACCCTTCAATTCCTTTTTCTGACTTCTCCCCCTATTTCAGTGACAAACACCTCAGATTGGTTCTTCTCACATATTCATTAAGAACACCACTCTTTGACATTTGGAAAGAAACTTGCATGTCATTAGGGAATGAGTTTGTAATTGAAACCCGAAATATCTTCCAAGACTCTTAGTAAAGTATTCAATAGTTACAGTCCCAAAACTTCATCATCAAAGTTGATATCCATTCTTCACAATTGATTTGTACATCAAATTTATCAAGCAATTTAACAAATACAATTTATTATTGTCTGACAGAATTATAACATGTGTCTCATTAGTAATGTGATTATAAACAATGGCTTCTACATATTGTCGAACCAAATCAAATACATTTTGGTGCTCAAAGTCCCATTCTTCATTAGGCAGAATTTGGCTGCATAGCAAAGAGTGAGAGATGCAATTTCTTCATAACTAATAAATCTTTCATCTTGTTCTTCCCTAAATGATAATTTATACCATTTAAGTAATTAATTTGTATGTGTCTCCAACATTCAACCAAGTAAATATAACCTCAAACTAAGAGTCATGATGTCACTCTAATAGAGAAAATAATAACACAACAACAAAAAATTATCGAAGTATGTAGCTAAAATAATCTCCCTTAACTTGTAAGAATTTACGAGAAACAATGACAATAAAAAAAATAACAATAATAATAACAAAAGAGAACACAAATATTTTTAATGTGATAAAGTCTTTTCAATACGAGAAGTAAAAATTCACAGGCAAAAATTATTTAATCAACCTTCACTAAGATCAAAATATAGGTACAAAAGAGTCAAATCAAATACACAAACAATTGCCCACAAAAAATAATAATGTTCTCAAATCTAAAGAAAAAAAAGAAAAGAGAAACATAAAATATAAGTGAAACTGATTTTTCTAACCATAAATTTTAAATTGACGATCCTAACTATCGAAATTTTTTTGTAAAAGTTCTAATCCGATCCAATGATAAATGATACAGTAATTTTATTGAGATAACTTAATAAGTCAAATAGTTTTTTTTTTAATATTGCCAAATTTTATCCTATTACTTTCTTAAAAGATCACTTTATTATTTTCTTAAAAGATCACTTTCCCCTTAAATTATGTGAGATAAAATAATCTTTTAACTGATGTAAACTATTTAGACATATAATTAAGATTCCAACGAAAAAAATTAAATTTGGTGGTTTATAATTAGAATTGGTTAAAAAAATATGATTTGGCATAGTAAGAGAATCCATGGTTACATTATTTATAGGTGGACTAAAGTGACGTCGACTTGTTGAAAAAGTGAACAATTATTTGGGAAGCGAGAAATCCAAATGAAACACGTTACGTTCGTCGGTGATGCGTTGAAGATTTGATCAGTTTCAGCAGTCTGACGAATCTGTTGGCATGTCAATGGCAAAGAAACCTGTGAAATACACTCTGGTATGTTTGTCTCCGAACTCAATTTTTCGGTTTCTCACAACATCCTTGATATGAATCCGAGTACTGTGTGCTGAGTTCGAGTTAGATAAGCAGGTTGACGCGTTCACTGACTCTGTCTTCAAAGGAAACCCTGCAGCAGTGTGTCTCTTGGAAGAGGAGAGGGACAAGAAGTGGTTTCAAGCAGTGGCAGCTGAGTTCAATTTATCTGTCACAGCTTACATAACTCCCTTCACTGAGTCCAATCACAACCTTAACTCGCTCCATGGGACCTCTAACAATCCCCGTTTTCATCTCAGATGGTTTACTCCTGTTACTGAGGTAAATTTTACTGGCTTGATTTTTTTTTTTAAATTATTTTATCTTATTCATATACCCTTTTGCAGATAGAGCTCTGTGGCCATGCTACTTTAGCTTCTGCTCACACACTATTTTCATCTGGTTTGGTGGATACTGATGTTATTGAATTTGTGACACTTTGTGGAGTATTGACTGCCAAAAAGATCCCAGCGATCAATATGACTAGTGACTCAAACTTGCAAAAGGGTGAAGCTCATGATGGGTTTTACATTGAAGTGAATTTCCCTGTTGATCCTGTTGTAGAATTCAACTTCGAGGAGACTTCTCAAGTTGCTGCCGCATTGAACGGTGCTTCCATAATTGATATGAAGAAGACACAACATGGAGATGACATATTCGTAATTCCTACATTTCTTTCATTGTCTAGTATACATCAGCAATACTTTGATTATCATTATTTGTTATCTAATAAGCAATATCGTATAACCTAGTGATACTGCTGTTCGGTAAAGTAAATTTTACAACGTTCTTATTTTCGGATGAATCCTTCATATTTGTTAACCTGCTTGATTATTGAAATAAGAACAGTATATATCTGTTGTTGGTATGTAACTTTACTTTTACCTGAAAATAACAAGTATGCGTTTTAAGCAATTTGTGTGCATTAAACATTATGAAACCTGCAAATTTTCCTAGGTTGTGGTCCCATCTGGAAGAGCTGTCGAAGAACTACAGCCACAACTTGATGAAATAGTTAAATGTCCTGGAAGGGGGGTAATTGTTTCGGCGGTTGCTCCTCCAGGCTCAGGATTTGACTTCTGTAGTCGATTCTTCTGCCCAAAATATGGAGTCAATGAGGTAGTGACTGAGAATTTGTATTTATAAGAAAAAAGTGGTTCACAATTTTGGCAATGACAATGTCTCCTTAGTTATGCAATAAATGAAGACAGATGGTGTGCTTCAAATTGATTATGAACTCATCATTGTGGATGCAATCTTGGAACTGCATAATCTTTTATAAATGCCCCTTCTCTTCTCATCATTGTGAGATAATGTCAAAAAACTCATTTCCTTTCAGGATCCTGTTTGTGGGGGTGCACATTGTGCATTAGCACCCTACTGGAGCAAGAAGCTAGGGAAGTGTGATTTCAATGCTTACCAGGTATGATTAGTAAGATAATGTCATTAAACTCATATTTCCTTCCCCTCATTGTGAATAATGATCATCTGTCAGTTGTTAGCGTTAGTCATAGTAACGCCTAGATTACATTTGTGCAGGCATCAAGCAGAGGGGGAGTTCTTAATGGTCATTATGATGAGCAAAATCGAAGAGTGTTTTTGCGTGGAAAGGCTGTTACAGTAATGGAAGGCAGTGTTCTGGTCTAGTTCAAGTTTCAGATGACAAGAATATCCAAGTCCTAAACTGTTAGTATACTTTATTATTATCACTAAAAAATCTGTTGGGAGAAATTTTATTGCAATCCATAAATATTTTTTTCTATTTTTTAAAAACAAATTTTCACTACGTTACTAATCTTTATTAATTATTTTGTTCTTACACTACAAGAAAATCGCGTATTACCGACGGATATTTACCGACGGATTTGTATCCGTCGAAAAATAATTATTACCGACGGAAATACCGACGGATATAAAATATTTGTGGAATTTGATCTTACCGACGGATATATCCATCGGTAAAATAATAATTAGTTATCGACGGATATATTCATCGATAAATCCGTCTGTAATTGACAGTGATTTACCGACGGATATATCCGTCGATAAATCCGTCGATAAATTAATAATTAATTACTGACGGATATATCCGTCGAGTAAATTCATCTGTAAATTACCAACGGATATTTCAGTTAGTAAATTATCAATTAGTAAATATTCAACTAATTAAAAAAATTTAATATTTTTTATTTAATAATTTCATTTAATCAAAATTAGATTAATTTATAATAATTTCTTAAATTAAATAATTTTAAAAAATAAATATTTAATTATATAAAAATATATAAAAACATATAAAAATATTTAATTGTATATAAATATATAAATATATAAATATATAAATATATAAATATATATATATATATATAAATATAAATATATAAATATATATATATAAAATATATATATATATATAAATATATATATATATATATATATATATATATATAAATATATATATATATAAATATATATATAAATATATATATATATATATATATAATATATATATATATAAATATATATATATAAATATATATAAATATATATAAATATATATAAATATATATAAATATATAAATATATAAAAATATAAATATATAAAAATATAAATATATAAATATATAAATATATAAATGCATTAAATTTTCAGCTCGATACCAATCGTGATACTTTGAAAATCAAAGAAGATAAAAAATTTTTATAACATCAAAGTATATAAAATACTGGGGAAAAAATATGAAATAAAGATAATATCTCGTAAATGATAAATGAGAAAACTTACATAAGAAGGGAAAACTGAAGACTTCATTGAAAGAAAGTTGAGTACAATTTTTACAAACACTGAACTCGCTCTGCCTTCTCTAACTTAAGAGGCCTTATTTATAGAGCATTTAGACTATTCTACACAAAGGAGAATTTACAAGTCTATCCTTACATTAATTACATAAATATCTTCTGAGCATCTTCTTTTGTCAAATCATATCTTCTTTTCTTATCTTCTTTCCTTCTTTTCTTATCTTCGAGCATCTTTTGTCAAGTCCTTCTTATCATCGAGCATCTTTTGTCAAATCCCTCTTATCTTCGAGCATCTTTTGTCAAATCCTTCTTTTGCTTTTCTTTTGTGTCACATCTGGCTTTAATAATTTTGTCCTCAATCAAACATTTCAAACGGATTATGTTGAGTACTTTCTTCAGAGTTGGTTCTTGAAGTTGCTGATTTTTCTTTAATAATTTGTTCAAAATCCTTCATGGTAGTTGCTGCTGCTAGTTCTACCATCAATCTTTGTTTCTCTGCTAGAAATAATGATTCTTGACTTAAGGCTTGATTTATACCTTCTCTTCTTTGACGATGATTAGCTTGCCATTTGTCAATATTGGATTTGGTTATTAATTCGGTATTGAACTTTGACCACCATTTTATCTTAAATCTTCTAGAGAGTTGTTTAATATCCACATTCTCATATGCTGGTTCTATTGTATAATCCCATGCTACGATCCAAGTAATAGACTGAGTGGCTACAAATGATATTAGTCTGTATCCAGAATCAAAAGAGGTCTTTTCTCTAAAATACTGATATACTTCACTAACATCTTTTGGAAATATTGTAGGCAAAGGTCCAAAGTCTGCAAACCACTTGATAAACCATTTTGGAAATTTAAGTGATATTCCTCTCTTAAACCAGATAAACCAAGAATGATTTCCTGGATGTACTAATAGGGCTTTGGTCCAGGCTTCTATATAATCGTAATAATTATAATTTTGAGGGTAAAAATTTCTGGAAAAGTTATTGGTTTTATGAATGGGTTGATTCCACTCTTCGGGTGATAAAATTCTCAAGATCTTTATTTTGGAAAACAAAATATTATTTTGACTGTCTCTAGTATGATAAATTTCTACAGAATCTGTGTCTACCAGAATAAATTCATAGAAGGTTCTTGTCTTTTCTAGATTTACTGGAGGATAATGGAAATCATCTGGAAAAAGTTTATTGGTTATGGTTCTGATATTATCATAGATCCAGGATTTTTCTAGGAGAATAATGAAAGAGGTTTCTGGTTTTTCAAAATACTCTTCTGATATTGGTTCTTGGGGGTTTTTATTGATCAAGTCTTTTGGTCCAATTAGGACATTTGGATATTGAAGAGGGGAGAATCTATTTTGAATAAGGTTTCTAGTCATTGGTGGAGGTGTTTTTAGAATCTCGGCTAAGGTAGATTGAATTTTAGGATGTTGGGTTCTAGAGGTTTGTGGTCTTAATGATAAGGTAGATCCCAGTGGGGGATAGTATTCTTTTGAATCATCTTCGTTTGGTGATTCCAATGGAGAATCAATCTTTTCTTTACCTTTTTTAGATCCCAGTGGGGGACCATACTGATCTTTATTTACTGGCTTTGTACTCATGATGAAGCCTGTAAAAATTCTCTCGTTAAAAGTCCGGTAAAAAATTATTTTTTCCTTTTATGTGTTCAATCTCAAAATCAAAACAAGATAATAAAGATTGCCATCTAGCAAATATATGTTTTGAAACTAAATTTTGAACATCTTTATTTAGAACACTTGGAGCAGCTTTACAATCTGTTCTTATTAAAAATTTCTTATTAAAAACATCATCCTGAAATTTCTGAACACATAATACTATTGAAAGAATTTCTTTTTTAACAGTAGAATACTTTTGCTGTGCAGAATGCCAAATACCAGAATGATATCTAACAATCTGTTCTTTAGAAGAGTTTAAAATTCTTTGTTTTAAAACCCCCCCATAGCCTAAATCAGATGCATCAGTTTCAATTATTAAAAAGGCTTGTGGATCGGGTATTCCTAGACATGGAATCTTTTTTACTAATCCTTTTATTTTTATTATAGTTTGTGTCATGGTTTCATCCCATGAGGGTGGATTTTTTCTAAGTCTTCTATACAATGGTGCACATACAATTCTAATATTAGGAATGAAATCTGCTATATAATTTACGCATCCTAAAAATCTTTGTAATTATTGTTTATCTTTTATTTCGTTTGGAAATTTTTCCGCAAATTCTAAAGATCTCTCGTATAGGGGTAATAGTATCTTGATAAATTTCATATCCTAAAAATCTTATTTTTGTTTGAAAGATTTTTATCTTTTTGGCGAGATACCACTAATCCATTTTCTTTTATTAATTTAATAAATATGTCTAAATGATTCATATGCTCAGTTATATTTTTTGAAAATATTAATATATCATCTAGATATACCATAGAAAATTTTATATATGGAATTAAGATATCATTCATAATGTTTTGAAATTCACTAGGTGCATTTTTTAAACCTTGTGGCATTACATTCCATTCGTAATGGCCAAAGGGTACTACAAAGGTCGTTTTATATTTATCTTCCTCTTTTACTCGATATTTGATAATAACCAGATTTTAGATCAAATTTAGAAAATATTGTAGAGTTATGTACTCTTTTAATTAGATCATTTTTATTAGGTAAGGGATACCTAATCCATTTTAACACCTTATTTAAAGGTTTATAATTTATAACTAATCTTGGAGCTCCTCGTTCTATTTCGAAGCTTTCATTACATAAAACCCTGTACAACTCCAGGGTGATTTTGATGGTCTTATTAATTCTTTTTCTAAATATTCTTGAATTTCTTGTTTACAATATTCTAAATATTTTTTACTCATTTGGATTGGTCTAGACTTTGTTGGTATTTTCTTTTCATCAAAATTATCTATATAAGGTAATTCTATTGTGTATTTTTTCCTATGCCAAAAGGCAGTAGGATTTAATTCACATATTTCTTTTTCTATTTTCTCGTTGATATTCTTTTATAATTTTTATAACATGTTGGCTATTTAGTTGTTCTTCTATTCTTTTAAATTTTATTTCTTTATTTAACATATTGATTTGCTTCTTTTTTATTTCTACTTGACTTATTGAAGATTCTTTTAATAAATTTAATTCTCTAGTTTTTGGAGGTTTTATAAATTCGAAGCAAATTTCTTTATCTAAAATACTAGTTTTTAACCCTAATTCGATTCATCGAAAAGGATACAATAAGGTTAAAAAGGGTGTTCCTAATATTACTGGAGTATTCATGTTTTTTATTAATACAAAAGAAGTATTATAACAAATTTTATTTTTACAGATTTTTACATTAGATAATTTATATTGAATATGCATTTTAGATCCATTTGCACTTGTTACTTTTTCTAAAGTTTTTTCATAATATTTACTCTAGTATTAATCCTTCTTGTATACGATTTACGTCTGCTCCTGAATCTACTAAAGCTATGGTTTTAAATTTTTCTTCTTTTATTACTAGAGTTATTTCTACATGCCATTTGTGTGTCGTCATTAAGTTTAATAAACTAATATAATTTTCATCTTTTATATTCTCAATTTTACTAGTACTTGCTTCATTATTTTCTTGATTTTTTATCATATTTTTTCCCTCTAATTCTAATAGTCTATATTCTAAAGATATATCATTTTCTTTTAATTCTTGTATTTCTTGCTTAAGAGTTTTAATTTCTTCTTGTAAATCTTTTATAGTTATTTGTTGACTTGGACTTCTAAATCTATTGTAAATGTCTTTCATACTTATAGGAGTTATATTTTTACTGTACTTCTTCACTACGAGTTATTAAACTACTT